TTCCAAGTAAAGTAGGTATTGGTGAGGCAGTGCCTAACCAGCGCAGGTGTATCGGGGTCTAGTCCATGTTGGACCAAATTTTCAATTATTTCAATGGTATCAGGTACTGGGACCTTGGTGAACAGAGAAATCACATCGAAGCTGACAAGGATATCGTCAGGGGACAGTACAAAGTCTTTGACCATAGAGACCAATTGGGCTGAGTTAAGTACTGCTGAGGAGGTCTTGCCAGTGAAAGGTAGCAAGGTATCTGACAGAAAACGTGCTAGTCTATAGGTAGGGGAGTTGATCGTGGATACGATGGGTCGTAGTGGGGTGCCTTCTTTATGAATCTTGGGAAGACCATAGAATCTAGGGGGTCTTGCAGCAGAAGGTTTTAGGAAGGGACGTTTAGTTGGTTCGATTAGGGAGGTTGAACTTGTGATTTTTATTGTTAGGCTATTAGTAGGGTCATTTCTAAATTTTGAGTAATTTCCATCGTTGAGCAGGTTCTGGATTTTGTTGTTGTATGAATCTTTATCCATAATTACAGTAGCGTTGCCTTTATCGGCTGAGAGGATGACTATATCATTTTCTGTTTTTTTTTTTTTTAATTCGCGAGTTCAGAGCGTTCATTTTTGCTGATGTTGCTAATGGGTTTCTGAGCATTCTTAAGAATAGTGGCTATTTCAGCTCTCGCAACGTCTGCTTGGATGTGTCCTACGCCTTTGAGGGCTACATCGACCTGAGAGATGATATCATCTACTGGTACGTGTTTTGGGGTGACAGCAAAATTTAGCCCCCTAGCCAGTACTGTTTTCAGATTGTCCGAAATCGGGGTGCTACTCTGATTAATGACGATTTTGTTGACGTCTAGTTTTGTTATATGTGGAACTGAAGTTCTTCTTCAATCACAAGGTCTAAAATTACGTGGAGCTGGTTGAGACTCTGGTTGAAGAACTACGGCACAATGGGCTGTAGTAGGTCCCTCAAAGTCCATATCCTTGATGCTCATCTTGATAAACTCAAGGAGAACATGGGAGCGTACTCGGAGGAGCAAGGCGAGTGCTTCCACCACGATATACTGGACTTTGAACGCCGCTACCAAGGACAATATCACGAGAACATATGATGGGAGACTACATTTGGGGGCTGATTCGTGAAAGTGATTTACAGTATTATCGTAAATCTCGAACTACTCACTTATCTTTTGTAGTCATTTTTGTATTACTTTAGTATAAATACATGTTAATTTTGATTGATATGTTTTTTCTGACTTTATGTAAACGAAAAGACAATAATAGCCATTTTCTATACTTTTTAGGCATACGCAATTACGAAATAGCACTTACTACCCAGGGAAAAAAAATGTTTTACATAATGTTACAACTTCATTTGATCCCCTCCCCCCACATATGAATTCCTGCAGTCACGAAAGTTTTAAGTTAAAATTTATACCCCCCCCCCCCTTTTTGTTTTAAATCTCGAATGGTCGCGCCCAGTAACGAGGACAAGTGTCTCGTCCAATGAGAGCGCCCCGCTGTTGCTGGGCAACCTCTGACCAATGAGAGGCGCGCGCGCGCTCACAATGCACGCTCGGCATGGCGCCTGAGCGGCCGCTGTGATTTCCCACTTCCTTAGCCGCTAGGACCAACAATTTACAATAATGATGATGATGATTGCTAAAATAATGACACAGTTATAATCTTAATGAAATGCATCCATCGTTTGCTTTTCCACGGCCGGTCCGACGCGCGGAGGGCATCACGGTTATGCTGAAGTTGAGCTTGCAGGTGAGAACCGTGATCAAGTTTTACAATTAAATTGCCCTACATTTTTAATCCCTATTTTGATTGACAACAGTTTTCTATCCATATGAATGCTTCAAATTAAAGTGATGAATATTGTGCACGTTGAATACGGTCTCGCGATATGCACTGCTGTCCGTATTTGGGCGCATTGTGGAAGCATTGCAGTTTGTGCGTGTCCTTACCGTCTTTGATACTGTACGTTAACTTGCTCGCAAACACTACAATTAAAGGCGTTATACGTCTCGTGTTGTTCTAAATGTAATTTCACGACTTTGCAGTCGGCCCAATTGTTATAATAGCCGTGATGCGTGCTATCAACCTTTCATTACGTAGACTGTTGTTGTGTAGCAATGCGCATGCTTTCGTGTATTGCATGGACATGGTTTTATTTGCACCCAAAATACATTCCCAGAATTAATCACATTTGATGTGCTGAATAAAAGTGGGTGGCTGGCATAAAAATGTAAACACATCGAAAGGATGTTTGTGCGTTGAGCGACTTTGTGTGTGTGTTTTTTTACATTGCAGTGAATGGTGGCACCTGCAGTGGCGACGTGGACCTCATTACCTGCAACGTATACGGTGGATTGAAACGCATCGAATCTTCTCCGTACGATTTGATTCTACAGCGTGGTTCGGATGTCTTGTGACCCCCCCCCCCCCAAATAATTGACCCCTTTAAAAAAAAGTTTTAGATCATTAAATGGTGGGGGGGGGGGGGGGAAGAGGGGGGGGAGTCACAAGACATCTGGACCACCTTGTAGAATGAAATCGTACGGGGTTGCATTGGCCACACCGGGTACTAGCGTGTTCGACACTACGTATCAACATTATCGCACGAACTATACTTTATGCGGAGATGGGGTATAGCAACTTAACGCGCGTGCTTTCTGGAAGCGCAGTAATGCTGATAATACTGTTCGCGTACAGTATGTAATACTTTTTTTTTCCGTGGGTAAGAGGGGATTAGGAAATAAAACGTGGCCCGTGCGTGCACTGTATTCTGACACTGTACAGTTAAGGGTGGTCCAGATGTCTCGTTACACCCCCCCCCCATACCATTGGTTGTGAAAACAGAAATGAATAAGCACAGGAAAATATGTTAAGGGTCAATTAATTGGGGGGTCACAAAGGCATCCGGAGCACCGTGCATACTCTAGTTTACATTGTACTCGTGTTGATACGGTGTTCTTCAAACCTCCCTTGGTTTTAAATTTTCTGCACCATGCGTGAGATAACTTGGAAGCATGGTCGGTGCTAGCGGGTCGCTGGGCTGGGTTTGGCACCACCAAATACCCCTTTGGCCCGACTCACGTTCACTCTGCTTAGCGGGGTATATCCCCAACACACAATAACTTAATAAGTCCCCACCCCTTATCTGAGAGAATCATGAAGGGGCCGTGCCTGCTAAGAAGTTTCTACACACGCAGTTCTCCGCACGCGCGAAATTCTACTGGACACGTGTGAAAAAGAGCTTTAGGGCTCATCGGATTACTCCAGTATAAATGTATTCTGATTCTGAATGGGTTATGGCCGAAATTATCACTAGAAAAAAAACGTGAGAACAAGTTGAATCACTGTTCCCAATCGTGAATAGATTTCATTTTAATAAGCAGGATATGAAATAATTGGCCAGGGGTGGACGATGATTGAGGATCAAGTCTACTAAATAATATTTGTTATTTAACCAGAAGTCGCAGCCAAGGGAGGGAACGTGACTTAGAGGATGTCCACTGTGGAGGAGATAGAGCGTATTACATCATATAATTTTGAGAGATGGTGACGTTTGGGGAGGCCACCATCCAGTAGTGGATTGATCATGGCTTATGATAATTAACTAATCGTATACTCATGGCTTATGTATCCAACCCACTTACTTGATCAAAGTCTACTTATTATTTCGCTCTACACGGGTTGTAACAAGCGGCTTATGGTAACTTTCATGCCTGAGTTAAGATTTTTTTTTTTAAATGACACATCTGAGGCCAAAACTGTTTGGACGCAATAGCTGGTTGCTGGGAGGACAAAGTGACGCACGATTCTGTGTTAAAACTCTCGTGAAAGATCAATATAAAAGCCCAAGTGAATTTGGTGACATCAGTCGGTGAGATGGATCAAGGTTTCCTTGGCATGGCAGTCCTCACCCCGCCTAACAAACATTCGAAATGTTTTATGGTTACAGTATTTACATTTTCATTCTGCGTTCTTGCTACTTTTACTTTCTTCTTCCAAGCGTTTATCAGTAACATCACGAGTTCCAGATGCATCATGCCTGGCTGTTTTCAGGCTGTTCGCAGTGAAGTGAGCCATTTCATGAATGTGAGAAATGGAGAGAAAAATATGTACGTGAATGTACGAATCATTTGACATTTTTTGGTTCATACATTCACTATACATATGTATGCGTGTTACTGCTTTCTGTGCAAATAAGTAATGAGAGATGCCAGAGGCAGAGAAAGGAACACGTGGCTTAGAGAACATTTGCGGGTTGACGTTGAGTGTTCGGAAGAGTGAATTAAGAAAAGCGGGCTTAAGCAAGGGACACGTCGGTGAAGAGGGCAAGCGGTGGTCGCGACTAACAAGGGAGTAACGCGCTCAAGATGGGAGGCCCACCAGAAAATCAAGCGATGATGAAATCTGCTCGCATGGATCGTTACATCGCAGAACCACGAAAGATGGCTACGGCTTGGGGGGGTGTTGGGAGGCATTTGTCCAGCAGTGGATTGATCGTGGCTCACGATGCTAAGCAGTAATGGAATCCATTCGGTGCAATCAAAGCAGCTATGCATCGATTGAAATTAACACCACGCATCCCAAGATGTCGACATTTTAACTTATAAAGATAAGTTGAGTGTATTTTTGTTCGATGTATTTTTTTCTGGTCCGGGAGCTATGAGAAAACGCGCTTGGATATGCAGGTTTCGCGTTCGTCACGGAGCATCTGGCTCACAGCTAACGCTACAGCTGTGCACATACATTTAGTCGGTGCCACCCTCGTGCCTGGTACTTGGCATGAACAGCGAGCAATTGGTTGACCACCTGGCCTTGGGGCGGAGGGGATCTACAATTACAACCCACAGTACTGTAATTGTTTAAACAGCACAAAGTGGGCATCATTTCCTAAGACTGGCCTTTAAAAATAAACACAAAAACGGTCTTTGGGATATCGCTTCTTGAACACGGGCCCGTTAAATACACGCTAGACTTGTATTAATGTCATTTTTGAGTTTTATTGTAAAACAAAAGCACCGTATAAACAACATCAGAAGGGCGAGAACAAATTCACTGAGAAATGTTACATTTATCTTGTAAAAGCTTTCGTGTCAGTATACAGTGTCTATGTACAAGGTTTGACAATTTAACTCCAGCTGTTCTGAACGTGAACAGCTTTTAAATGACGATACCATAGCTTTTAACACAGACATTTGGTATACATGTCGGCGAAAAAGTCGGTATTTCAGAAACATTTGTACTGTACTATATTTCTCAGGTGCATACAATCCTCCTAGGCAAATTTTTGCAAGAACTTACAACCTGCAGCAGAAGAGTAATAATGTGCATAACCACGAGTTTAATACTCTGTACCACACATTTTTAGATACGAGGAAAAAAAATACTCTTTCAGTACATACAAAATTACAAAAACTCTTTAAAAAGTTACAAATATCCCATAAATGCGTTGTACCTCCGAATGTATGCAGGTCAGGCCATGTTAACAACACTTCTAATTTCATTATTCGTTTATATGAATAAAAAAAGGTACCGTTGTTTGATCAAATCACCCAGAATGCACCTGATCTCATTTAGATCTCGAACGCCAAGTCGAATTGAGCCTAGATATTACTTGGATGTAAAGCCGCTGCAGGGCTGCATTGTTAGCAGAGGACAATGCCGACAAATCAATTGTTGCACTGTACTATGCTCCTAAATCTATGATTCCTGCCTTCACTGACCCACACTGACCAGCGTGGCCGGTGACCCACGTTTGACAAAAGCCCGGTAAACCGCAGTGTAGGGAGGCTCTCATCTGGCAGTGGATTGACAAAAATAACTCTACGTGTGCCCGTACGGAAAGAACAAAAAGGCATACAAGTGTCTGGTGAAATGACAAGTGTTAGCATGCTGAAGAGAATGAGCAGGGTATAACTGCCCTCTAAACCAACAATGCTGAATTGCAACAGTTGGCCAACCTTCCCCCATCTCTTTACAGCACCGTTTGCAAACGGCTTCTTAATATCTTAACGCTGGGATGCGTTTGCGTTGTACAAAAAAATTATATTCCGCACGAGGTCAGCGAGCTACCCAGGGATTGCGGAAAGCCGCATTCATCAAATCCTATTACAGAACATCTTTTCTATAATGCATTGAACTTAATCCTTCCCAAAAATAAACTTGTAAATGATAATATAACAAAACATACCGTATATACCATAGTTTGCGTCGTGTTAAAATTACTTTGAATGTATGTACAAATACTAACAAATCAAATGATTGTCATCAGCTTTTACTTATGGTTTTTTTGCGTACTAAGTGGTACATAAACCGACGCTGTCCGAGTACAATGGGATAGCAATAACAGTTCCGTCAGCCACAACGGTGACACGCATCCACATGGGAACTCTTTTGTTGTTGCAAAACATGCACCGAGGAGGCGAGCTGTAAAGGACACCCGATTCTCCATCTTCGTAGTCACACGTTCCAGAATGCCCACAACATTCTACTAAGGGCTTAATTTCTCACCAAATATATTTTTGGGATTGCCCATAGACCAGGGCTTTGGGATGGGTGGGTGGGCTGGCCACGTGAATATCAGCCACAGCCAGAGCTGCTATATAGGTATACTCACCCGGACAGAACTGGAGAAAAATTAAGCCCTGGCTCTACCGTGGTGTAGGCATATTGCCAGGCAGCTTTTAAGACGGAGGTCACAAGAAGTCTTCGGCGTTCCAGCTTTTATGGGGGGGGGGGGGGAGGGCATACTCAGTAGACGCCGGTGTCCCTGTAGGTGACCTCGGCATGCTCGTGAGAGTTGAAGTGCACGTGGGGAGGGGCGCTGCCCTCGGCTGGCGGGGCCCGGCGGCGCTCCGTTTTTACCACGGCGCGCTGGCTGTCCGGGAAGGCGAGGGAGAAGACGACCTCGGGGTCGCACACGAAGCGGTACACGTACCGCTCGCCCGCCACCTGCACGCGCGCAGAGCGACGCGGGATCAGAGGTGGGACACGATGGAAGTTGAGTTGATTAGCGCAACGGGAAAGAGCTCAAGTTTGTTGCTGTGGTCAAGTACTCGGGAGGGGGCCTCTTTAATAAATTGGAAGCCCCCCCCCCCCCCCACATCCGGCCGAAAGGCAGGAAACCACCTACAGACCGTGCTGAGTGTTTATCGTGTTAATGTGGCAAAGCCCAAACTATCATGTCCGATCCGGTCGCACATGTGGGGCCAGAGGTAAGATTGGTTTTCCTGATTATTTTCGTGTAATCTGCTTGAGTAATCGATGACTCAAAAAATCAGATGGTTCTACACGAGACGAGCCCACACTCTATAGCTGGTGGCAGAGTTGATTAGCACACAATAAATACGTTCCTTTTAAAATTATTATATAATATACAATTATCTTGTACTGAATGCCACATTGACCACGATATTCTGTTAAACTAAAAAGACATACAGTACGTTGCATATTCAACTTGTTGAGAACTGAAGCATACATAGGTGGATTAGAAATGTGGGGATTTGTCAACATCTATAGAAAATTAGTTATGCTATGCACAAATATTGCAATGTGTATCGGTGGTTAATTGGTGAGGGTGAATATATGACAGCTGGATATGTATCCTTGCACCATAGCTCTTATCTTGCAGTTGCACATCCAGATTGTGTGTTCTGGGATAGTCCTACATGAGTTTGTTTAACGAGATGAGGGAACATTGCTTACCTTCTGCATGATGCCCTTCTCATAGTAGTATCGCAGGGAGCGACTCAGCTTGTCATAATTCATGGCTGGCCTGTTCTTCTGGATTCCCCAAAGCCGTGCCACCTGCAGTGCAATGGCACCAATGGGACAATGCTTAGCTTAAAGGGGAAGATGAAATATTTACTGCTCGTAACGGTATTAGCCTGTGTCATGGAAAAAAAATATAAAGGTCAATGAAGAGAACTCTGACATGGCCAGAGGGGAAGGCGAATTTTGCCAATTTCAGACCCACCGAAACATCTACAGCCCTTTATTTTTTATCAATCTGCTGCTGGATGAGGGCCTCCCCATGCTATGTGGGATTGTGGGGGTTGTTTGATGGTCCTTCTCCATACTGGTCAATTCCGAGTGTTCGCAGGTGGGTGAGCGTGGACGAGTACAAAGTAAGACGACAATCGATTTTGCAGCACTGCCCTCTTTTGCCCACCATGTAAACCTTACAGCGCTCTGACAACATGTTTGTGCACGACGGTCACCCAACCAAGCAATATGCAGGCTCAAGACTGCTCATCTTCTGCAGTTTGGTGAATTCTGGGTGATTTGGTCAAACAAAGAGCCCACGGGTCTGACCATTTGTCTCAACAGTATTCCGTGCTGACAGCTGAGGCACAGCAACTGACCTCTTCGGGGTCGAGGAGTTTGAACTCCATACCACGCCCCGTCCACACGATGGTGCCGGCGTGTACAGGGTCCTCCAGAAGCGCCACAAGGAACTGCCACAGCTGCAGCGAGCCACGGCGCTGGTACATGGGGGGCGGCACGCTTCGGTATCCGCTTACATCACCTGCGGGCGACCACGCACAAATACATTGGGAAGGAAATGTATTTGCAGCCCTTGCTGCAAAAAAATGCAGTCTCTTACACCATGCTGTTTCGGTCATGGGGGCAGTTTGTTTTGACCATACTTCATCACGCTCATCAGTGGTGGTTACGGAGGGGAGGGGAACGGGGACCGGTTCATTCGCCACCGACGTTCGTTGCCAGAAATAGTACTTAGAGGTCGCTGGGTTCCTTAACCAATGCGCGCCAATGCCCCAGGAAATAAATTTGCCCGAACGATTAAACAAATCGTGCCATTTAACAGCGTAATTAGCCAAGTCCTGGGAATTACATTTAAATGACACCAAACTGAATATTTAAGTTGTTACTTATAAAACCGAAAATAGAAAGATTTAGCATGTTTAGATGAAATAATTATAAATGTGGGTCGTTACTAAGTGGGGATAGGTGTTAATTGAGTGGAACACTCTTTCCAAACTGAAAATAAACCCACTGTTCTTGGAACCACAAAAGTAGCAGCACGTACCCAGGAAGGAAACAATACATACTTTGATGACCATCTGGAGTGTTTTCCATAAAATATAAACGTGCATACATAATCACGTGGAACCTACTGACATGTAGTTTCACACACGTGTATGTATTCATTAATGTGTACATTGGACTCTACTGTTGCATTTACGATTGTTATCGATAGATTTTTAGCAAAGGGATATGCATTTTTTGTAACGAATCAGTCTGGTGTTTAAATACCAACCTTCATTATGTGATGACGAATAGCCTTCTCCATTCATGTACATGGATTGCCCGGTGGGCATATCTAGAGCAAAAAACAACAACTTAGTACGTCAGCAAGATCATGAAAAAAGTTTACAAAATAGCTGTAAATGTATTCTCCATATAAATCACAATTTATTTAAGTGAACAATACGGGATAATGTAATAGAAATGTTGCACGTTAGATGGTAAAGTATAACCATTAACACTCAAGGTCCGTCTAATAATTTTCACCTTTAAAATGTAATCGTTTAATTCGGAAATCATTCTATATATCTTGTCTAAGTATTTGAAAACCTTAAAAAAAATCTCATCCTGTGGGTCACAAACAAGAGCAATATTTCAATGCTAAAATAATTGCATAAAAGGGTATTTGTATTGGAGGCATCACAAAACCTTTACTGCCGAGGATGATATAGAAATTATTCTTATGGACAAGGTCTTGTAAGATGGATTCAAGGCCACGTTAGATCAATGTGATGGGGGGACAATTTCACTGGGGCCCAACCGCAGACACCCTCCATTACTGCAGGGCAAAATCCAAGGTTCAATTTATTTGTGGATATTTCAGAGAGATTCCCTGGACGATCTCTCTTCAGTTTTCAAGCGAGAGAATTGGATTCTCGTGAAAGCACCACAGAGGCTTTGATCAAGATCGTTGTGAGAACTTTGTAATTAATAAAATACAAGTACAGTATTGGTTTAATCTCGAATTAGGCTTCAATCCATAGTGTTTATATTTTGTTAAATCACCCGTACACAATCTGCAGATCCACCCTTTCCTCTGCAATTAAGTGCATTGCTAATTAGTTTTCCCTTGAAAAAAATCCCATTCAAAGTACTGTACATTTTTGTTAAGATCTGAAGATATGAAAAATTAGATGTACTGTTATTGAATACTTACTACCCATATTAATGACGGTATATCAATGTAAGTTAAAGATGAAAATTAACTATAAAATAAAACCTGTTTATACGCGCAATCTGTAATATACACAATGCACAACGGCATTCCACGAGCAAGCTACAATTTTTACACGAAACATTACATTACGGTACCAAATATTTGTTTACACGTTAATGCACTATCTAACAAATCTGTAAACTAAAATAATTACTTTCTTTGTGTCAGTCTTGATGGTGAAGTAAACTGTTTATGCAAAAAAAGTACGGGAATATAAACAAAACGCAAGCGCTCTGGCAAACCTCACCCGTTTGGTAAGGGCAGTCTGACCGCTCCTGCACCATGTGGGGTGGTGGTCGAAAGTCTGGCCTCCCCATGTTGCCGTGCATGACATGCGTCTGCGGCGGCTGTGGCCCATGCGAACGCTGGCCCAGGTGGCCAGGGTACGCATCCTCGCCCGGGTACCCCATGGGCCCCGTGTACTCTTGCTTGATGCCTCCCGGAGGTCCCGGCGGAGGGGGGAAAGGGGCCATGAGCGGCTCGGAGGCTTGGCGGTGGAAGGGGATGCAGCCTGGGCGAGACATGTGCTGAGAGGGGGGATACGGAGAGCACGGCTCCGACAGATGCCTCTGAAACCTGTGGTCGAAGAAAAAAATTACACTTGGCTCAGACGCGGAGAAACCAGAGTGCAGCTATATATCGGTCATGATATGATAACGACTGAATCTTTGCTATTAAGAAAAGTGAGCAAGGCTCCCCATCTTTTTATCCCCTTCTTTACATAACCGGTTGAGTTTAAGTTGACGGTGTGTATGTACGTCACAACGTGATGTAACGGACCCGCGCATTGCCTCAATAAAAAAAGTGAGTGGGATTGGGAAGAACACGTCGCTCGCTACAAGGAATGATGGCCGGTGGGTGAGACAATTTGCCAAAGGAGTGGCAGCTAAAAGAGGGCAGGTTGTCCAAGAGGACTTTACCATGGAGATGGAGCGATGGCATCAGCTCGCGTGCAGGTGCTAGGTGGATTGTTACAATGCAGGACCATGAAGAGATGGTGACGGCTTTGGGAGGCTTTCCTCCAGCAGTGAATTGGTAATGGCTAATGATGATGGTGGTGGTTGAGATACGAATGATGGGTGTTTATAGCACAGCAGTTCATTTCAGTAATGTGATGAAAATCAAGCAAACCATTGAGTACTTTGGAATGCTGGCCAAGAAGTGACTTGCTACTCAAAGCATTTCCATACATTAGGTACGACTGAGATATGAGGGGGAAAGTACAAATATGATCGACATTTGTTATGTCTAATTTTATTCACCTCCACATTTACATATATGATCACACTATGTTACATGATTAGCATAGACGCTGGTGCTACTTATTTGCAATCTCAAAATCGATGTGGGCCAGACGCTTGGAAATAGTGAGTCACAGGGAAATGTTTGAAGTGATCGTAACGGAGAATGAATGACGGGGCGCTGTAATAAGATAAAATCGTACACCCGACGAAACCACCAATCAGAGAAATAGGCGTGGCATTCCCCATATTTGGTATTGTGGAACGTCCATAATAAACTAACGTAAAAAAATACCGGGTTAATCAGAGTGTGCGGGTATAATCGCTGTATCGATTCATCGCCAATAGATCCATGGATTGAGTAATGATGCGACACGCCCCCTTCATTTGATTGGCTAATATCTGCAAGATTGGTGATTCCACCGTAGTCTGCTTTAATTGCACCAAAAGGGCTTCTGCCAACCTGCTGTCATTGTAGCCGCTGACATCGGCAGGAGAAGGGGCCGCCGTGGGGTACGGGGTTGAAAAGGGCCCTGCGACGGTGTGCGAGGGCGCCGGGGCCGGGCTGGGCATGAGGCGTGAGCACGGTGCCGAGCTGCTGCTGCTGCTGCACGGCTGCGGCTGCTGCTGCTGCTGCTGGTGTTGTTGCTGGTGCTGTTGCTGCTGCTGTTGCTGCTGCTGCTGCTGCTGGAGTGATGACACGGGCGTTGTACAAGAGGGCGAAGGGCTGCCACTCACACTGAGCATCCCATCCCTCTTCAGAGAGTAGCCACTGGAAGACAAGCAAAACAAAACGTTAATAATTATTCACAAACGATTTGTCAATCCACTGCTGAATTAAGCCCTTCCCCCATTTTGTTAGTCATGGTTTGTTATTTTTATGCTTTTATTTTAACTCAATGTGAGCACCAATCACAGATGTGTTTTTTGAATATAAATTCGATGAACAAACCAAAATTGTACTTGATTACTTTTTTTGTGGTCAATTACTTAGGCCCCTTTTAAAAATGGCAGCTGTCCCTCGACATCCTGCCTCTCGAAGGCAGGAAACCCCATAAAAGCCACTCTCGGTGACAAGGCTGATGATGTCAATGACATCGTCAGGTTACGCCCATCAATGCAACCGTCCAGTGGCAGATGTGGGAACAGGACTGAGGCTTTTTTTCCGCAACTATTTCCATATTATTTCATTTGTCGAGTAAATTAATGTACGATGATCAGTAAATCAAATGATTACTCAATCTGATTGCCTCCCTCCAACATTCATGTCATGACAAACAGGCGAACGAACACCCCGATGCGCGCAGAAATGTACGTTGAACTTCTTTCGCACCGTACGTAGCCAGCCGTGCTGATTGCGATTGGAGGTGCGATTGGCAGGGTTGTACGAAATACCGACGTCGGGAAGAAAAAAAAACCGTTGAGCCAAAGCAGCATCCCCCACGGTGCACACGAAGGCGCCACTCACCCGGGACTGGAGTGGCAGGTCGCAGCGGACAGCAGGCCCTGCATGTGCTCCTGCGCGCACGTGGATGCCTGCAGGCACGTGCCTCGGCCCTCCTTCTTGATCTTCACAGGGGCGTGGAATGCCACTGGGAGACAACGAAGGGACGTCAACCGATGTGAGCCGCAGCAGTGTTTGTGAAATATCTTCCGACGGCTAGCACTCGACACAATTGGCCAGATGAGGCTAATGGCCTTTGTGTGTCCCACCCCTTCCCTGTCATATTGTGCTGGCAGTGGAGCTCGATGTTTAATTAAGCAATAGCTTAATTAGTCAAAGTAAATAATTAAATTCCGTACGTAAATGCAGCACACGATATATTTTTTCATGTTCTTTTTCCTTAAAGTATCATGACTAATTCAAAACCAAAGCACAATTCTGCATGCCAATTATTTACCTTGCTGGTAGTACTGTTATGTCATCAAAGCCAAGACAACGTATATTCTGCGCGTGTTAATAAACATGACAAAACATAGTAAATTACATGTTTAGTTAACATAGTGCAGTTGCAATACATTTTGGACTACTTTGCCAAGCAGCATTTTTTTACTTACATTTCAAGTTATAAATAGAATAAAATGTAATAAATAGTGCTTCATAGTAAAGTTGAAATTATTGTTGTCAGTAGAGTATGTTGGTATCGTGTCAAACTAAAATATAAAGTACTATTGCGAAGTTAATCTTGAATTGCATATCCTTGCGACGGAGGGAGATTGAGTTTGTTTGACGATGTCATACTGGTTCATAGGGACCATAATAGCCAGGTTCCATTTTTAATTCCAAAAGAAGACGAGGAGCTTCCACTGCTACAGTACAGACTTTAAAAATCAGTGGCTGCTTCTTTGAGAGCTAAGGTATATGTGACATTACTTTTGAAGTAATCAAACAACTTAAAAGTGACAGTGATCACGTTCAGTGATTTTAATTTCAACGTGTTCGGTGTTTCTGACGGTTGGAGCATTGAGACCTTGTGTTGAGAATGTGTGCATTATAATGATGGGAAAAAAATGAAACATTTCTAAACTACACCAAATGTCACAAATTTCGCATTGTTTTTGGACAGGTGCTTGGTGGGTGAAATGCAAGCAATGTGTTTGTCTTCGAGTCACATTTCACAATAGTGCTCTGTTAAGAACCACTAGAAGTGACACAAGTATCCCCACATTGCAAATTAGGTTAATATAAGTTTAGCAAATACTTTGGCAAGCTTCTACACACAATTTTGCGTAGCCATACAATGCATAATGTAACAAAAGTCTATAACCGAATGTTAAATCACACCCTTTTACCATTTTCACTTTTGCCCAAATTCTTAACATCTTGACGGTACAGAAATCATTGCAAAACATCAGTTTCAGCACACAATAGCAAGGACGCATACATACATATATATGTGTATATATGGGCATGATGCAACCATTTGTTGCAGATTAGCCCTGCACTAAATCTTTCACCTGGGAAAACACTCAAAGAGGGCACACCACTGCGTCAAAGTTAATCTGCAGTGACAGCCAGTGACCCAGCACTTCCCCCAGTACAGTGTTTGGCACGAGATGGCATTAAGCGGGCAGCTACTGAAGCGGAATGGCAACGCATCAATAACGGCAACAATCTCTGTTTGCAAAGGTGACTCCCGCCCCCCCACCGTGTCTAGCGTGTGACCATTGAAAGTCCCGATAGTGTGAACCAATAATTTAAACACATTTTAACTCTGCACACTGTGCAAGGTAAATGTTGCCCCCGCACCTGCGATTTTATCACTAGGGAATGTTTTATTCCGCTGCCAGACCTATATGCGAGTGATGTTCTCGAGCAGCTGACACCTCTGCACTGGTGTACGCTTGATCTTATAGCAGAATTATGACTGCCCTAACAGTACAGTACTCGTGACCTCATCGCGGCGCTTTTGAGCGGTCAGCAGTTTAATGCGTCCGTACAAAACCCTTGACCTGTTATGCAACAACCGACTTCTTTGTGCAGTAAAATATACGGCTCTGAACAGCCAACGTAGAGCCCCGCAGTGATTAACGATTACAACTGAGTGACCGAGTCAGCTTTGCTATAAATGTCTTAATATCTAATTAATTAAACATTTCGTTATCTCTCAAATCTTCTGCAATGCCCTACTCTTTTTCATAAAGCGAAATCCAGCGATAATGACCACGGATCCATTTTGCTGGTTGCCACATCGACTATCACAAAAGCTGCTCTGTAGTACAATTTGCAATTTTTTTTTTAAATCCATCAAAAGTATCCCGTTTTGTAAACCGAGGAAGTGATAATTATAATCTCATTGATCTACATCATCATACATCTCAATGGATACTACTGGCACCCCCCCCCCCCCAAAATCCCTTAGATTATTCACCCTGCTAATTGCTTAAGTGGAATGGGATGTTCCATCTCACTCCCCTAAGCCGACAGGCACTTAGCAAAAGTCTGTAAAGTTGCACGCCGACCGACGCGCACGAGCGCAGAGTTTGCGAGCATTACAAGCGGCGTTTTTAGTTATTCGAGAAACAATGAGTGGTGGGGGGTGGGAGGCTTTGAGCGACGCTACCACAGACGAGAATGAAAAATCCGTTCAAGTTGAACGCCGACGCGTCGGACCAGACCGGTTGTGCGACTTCCGACCAAAAAAAACCCCGAGCTGGACAAACACTGCGAGACAACTCGCCGTAAAGGGGAGGGAGGGGGGGGCGAGCTCTGATTATTTACTAACAATGTCAACGTTCATACGTTTTTGTTTAAATACATGCCTTGTATTTTTTTTCGTTGTTGCTTTAACTTTTAAGTATTACCCTTGTTGTAAACAACAGATAACCGTGGATAATGAAACGAGCCAGTGTAAATGCACTACGCGCAGAGGCTGCCCTCAAAATACATCGGTGGGCATCGTATTAACGTAAATATATTTCTAAATATTGAACAAAAAAATGCATCTAGAAAGTCAACAAATATAGAGACGCAAATCAGAGCGTTAGCTCTTCAATAATCCCTACTGTTATAAATAAGAATATAACAGACCATAAGTTAACAGGCTTCATCATCATTGGTTCAATTAGCACCGTACATTCTCAACCTGTTATTATAAAGTCTGCGGTCTATAATTACTACCTTTAGCCCACAGCGCAGAGTTTCTTCATGTTTAATAAGACACATGCCTATTTTTATTTAATTAAAAGTAAAGGAGGTTAAAACTTACAATTTTCTGATGAGAAATCCAGAATGAACGGTTCCTCCTCATCAGGAACCTTGGCTGTAAAATAAGAACAATGACTATAAAAAAAAGCCATTTCTGTGACTTACAAATAATATATATGAACACACAATCTTCTCATGCCAAATACAAAAAGTGCACACTACATAATATTTATATCTAACATCACATTTGATTTATACATCTTTGTACTCTAATAATTAGTATATACTTATACCAGACAGATGTAAAGCAGAACTAGGGATTAATTTTGTATATATTTCGGTATCAAATGTTACACGTGGGTGGATGTCTTCTCTTCCACTATATATTTTATTCTGTAATGTACTTTGCATAAACTTATTCCAGCAACGTATTTTAAACACAAGGCAACTTCCGTCAAAAAACACAATAGATTAAAGTACATAGCGACACGGCTTCAACAAATCAAACCTTAGCACACACACACACATTTCACATAAAGCCTAACACATTCATACATAAATGCATACGTACACATTACACATTCTCGTACAGAATAAGAGAATGAGACATGCGAAAAAGCCGTTGAACTCGGCTGGAAGGTGAGTTTAACTTGGCAGAAATGTTTGGCAAATAAAATAAATCTCGGTGCACTCTACTTTGTCATCACATACACACACAAATAACAGGACGCAAACTCTCGTCTGCGCTGGCCCCAGCGCCGCCCAAACAAGCAATACCCCACAGAGAAGCCCCACTCCTCCTCTCTACCAGCAGCACCCCCACCACCAGCCTTAGCGAGTCTCAACAGCCCCGGCTGTCAAACACCTCCTCGTCTGCACCCCCCCCTCCCTGTCAGGCATCACCCATCATCAAGTCGGTGGTGATTTATAGCGAAACTCCCAACAACAGGGCCAGTAACGCCAGCACGCTCCAGAGTTTTGAAAAATCATCTCTTTAGAACTGCTATTTGATGTTTGGTTCTTGTTGTCCTTCCACCCCCCGTACCTCCGATTAGCAACGCTTGATTATGGACGGTGCGAATGAAGTTCAACATAGTACATGCATAGACCCGTATAATTCACCAACTATCGCATGGTGAATTCAAACGATACCAAAACACACACTTGCAGTTTCACATTTTTTGATATGCATGAATAACAAGTTTTATTCTAAGAAGATTTTAACACCCGATCCCATTCACCAATGAGGCTTCTGATTCAGTAGAAGTAAATGGCTCACTCACCCTCCACCAGCCAGGCTTCCTGCAGTTGGCTCAGAGTAAGAAAGAGATCTGTGGAGACAGACAGTGAAAATAATTATAAAAATATATATCAAGTCAACAGGTTTCATATTTGTTGACAAAACTTGCTTGCGTTGCACTATTAACAGCAAAAAAGATACCACGTCGAGGTTTTTCGCAGACGTAACATATATAGCGCTCCGATGCATTTTCTGGTTTTGCTGCATGTCGTTCGGCATGATGTCATGCGGCACAAGCCAAAAAAAAAACACAACAGATAATAATAAATATTATTAATCCACGCTACATTCCAAACCTTCAGTGTCTTGAGCCAGGTCTTCATCGAGATCCATACACTTCCTCTTGCGCTCCACGGCTAGGCGCTGAGCTCCTCCACCGTCTTGGCTCTGAGAATTCGACACGGAAGGCGCGCAGTCCATTTCATCGCCCTTAAGGAATTTCCCGTGGCACTCTTGTGTAGACCTCACGACACACTGGGCCCACTTGGCAGCAGCGGCAAAGTACCATTGTATTAATGCACTGGTGTACTTGCGTAAAAAAAAAACCTACCATGCAAAAACGTCTTGATTTGATCCAATAACGAGCACCTCGAACTAAAAATAATTATCGCGGTATAATGTAACAATTTAGGGCATCTTGAGCGCTCGGAAAAAAAAATAGGCGCTCGGATTTCCATGCGCATTTTTTTGCTGAGTCGTGGGCGTAGTGCCAGAACCCCTTAATTCGTTCTCCGTGCCCTAAAACAATGAAGGACCTTTTATACAGCACGCTCGGTAATTAAAACCAGAGAAGAACCTACCCACCTAAATCATTACCGTCGCTCGGAGCGGGTCCGCAAAACCCCAACCTCTCCACAAGTCGGGGCGCCCAAAATCATAAAAGAAAAACTAGCCACGTTATCCAACGTATGCCGTTTATCCAGATCACCCGCGCGCTATGGCCAACGCACCGTTGTGTTCGCGTAGGGGACCTCCTGGTCGTAGATGGTCTCCATGCTCGTCTGGAGGCCCCTTTTGATGTGACGCCACGGCAGGTCCTCCTATGTGTGGCCAGGGGAGGAGGTGCAAGCAACAGGGGGAGGAGGTGGTGGTGGTGATGTTGAAGGGGTAGGAGATGGGTAAAGGAGTGGAGGGGGGGAGAGCAGGAGAGAGGGGGGGGGATATCAGAAGCGGAGATGAAGGGGGGAGATAAGAAACGGGAAAATAGCTGGGGAGGAGATGGCGAGGATTCCAGCAAGAGTGGATAATCAGCAGAGAAAGGTTACGTTTTATAGAAGTTTTGGAATAATTGAAGATGACATTTTTTATTAGAGTATAAAGTGATGGAGAGTAGAAGTTGGAAAGGGATAGGGGAAATAAGGAGAAGTCGCGGGTGAGAGAGTGGAGACCCTTGTGAGAAACGGCGACCAAGAAGAGCGCGCACAACGAAACCCCGACTCGTGAAGTGGGCCAAGTTTGGCGCAAAGCGCGTCCGTAATTAAACGCCGAGGAATAAACGTATGTAGAGATTTACAGTGTGTAGCTGGAGCCAGTGGCTGAGCAGACAACCCAGGCAAAGGCAGACCGCAGTTCGATAGCGGAGGTTGTAATGCTGCTTTATCCTTGCTCTCAAAGCTCGAGTAACCCTGCCCTTCCCCCACGAAGGACAAGCTGATGAAACCTAAGGCAAAAAAAATCCCCCACCATCCCGCACTCCTCCTCCTCCCACCTCAGAATCTCCCACCCCCCACCACCACCCCAAGTCTCTGCAACACACACACGGACGCACCAAACTCTCACAACGCTGAGCTATAACGTGAGCGAAGCCAATGCGAGGTTTGTGAATGGGCGAGTGGAGGCGCACCGGAGCTCCATTCACAAAAAAAACCCAACCACAACACGTGGCCCCGCCCGCCCGCCCGCACAACCTCGGCGTAACTGCCCCGGGCTCGGCACAACGTCAAGTTTCAAGACACATGGAGAGAAAACTCACAATACTGCTGCTCAAGACGGGCAGCTAAAGCAGAGAAAGGCAAGCCAGAAACCCGCAACAACAACGCCACCACCAGCGCAATCATACTGATACTCGCAACTTTGTACCGCCCAACAAATGATAATCACGCCGATGATCATGCCAGTAACTTTTACAACAGCACCACCGTATAAAGTATAAGCAAAAATAGAAACGTCCAGAACCCTAATTAGCAAAACATAAAACGATAGTAATTTTACCACTTATATAAGATGAACATCAACTCTACTCCCAACTTAACAAACAACATTAACAGCGACACCAACGCCATCAACAACGAACAAAACTCTTGCAGCGTAAACAAAATCAGCAACACCAGAAATGGCATATAAACAGTGACTCTACCATCAAAATAACCCCCCCCCCCAAAAAAAAAACCACCAACAGAACATAAAACATCGGCAGCTGCACTATCGAAACAGCAGCAAAAGACGGCGATCATATCAACAGCTAAACACAACCACAGCAAGCAGAAATACTGGCAAGTGTTACATTGGTTACTTTAGTAAACACCGTTATAGTGGACGGCACATCCATCACCACTGGTGTCTGGCATGATTTCAAAGTTACTTTGCACGGCTTTCTACGTCCCATTTGTCAATCCACTGCGGGATGAAGACCTCCACGCGCCGTCTGTCATTAGGGTTCTTTGACCATACTTCACCACGCTGGTCGGTGTGGGTTGGTAAAAGTGGGTGGTGAGACATCACTCGTCACTGATGTTGGCCGTAGCTCGCGAATCGAACTCGGGTCAGCTGGTGAGGTTGGTAGTGCAGTGCATTAATAATAGCTGCGTCACTGCACCAAATGTTTGCGCAAAAGTCCTTCATTACCGTTATGATGATACGGCATACTTTACCGATGGTTGTGATGTATGCTTGTTGATGTTTTTTTTCATTTTAAGTTTTGACCCTTTAACTTTTAGAAATATTTTAATTAGCACGTACGCCTTTGTTTGCACAATAATTATATTGCATTCACAACTTGTCCTATGCATTAGTATTATACATTGATATATGCGATTTTGATTGGCAAAAAACAACTTTATCAAAGTCATATTTATGATGTACAGCCCTTTGTACATGTTGTCTCCACGCCTTTAGGGCCAATGGTATAAATATATTATTTTGACCATACTTCACCACGCTGGTCATTGCGGATTGAAGGGCGGGGCGGGCCTTTCGACTTGGTTTCTTGCTCGCCACTGACGTTAGCCGTGGCAAGGAATCTAACTCAGGTTCGGTAGCCGACGGAGTTCATGGCGCAATGCGCTAACCACTGCGCCACCGCTCTAATTCTCATCCAGCAGCGGATCGAAACACAGCTGCTAAGCCAACTCGATCGGCGCTCGACGATGTTAAACAACATCCGCTAAACAGGCACCCATCACACAGCACACACTAAGCAAACGTAAAGATTACAGCTTTTTTTTTAAACGCGAGTGGAAACTACGCGAGACCAAACCTAGTCCGTTTCGACTTGACAACAAAGCGAATTAATATAACCTCACTGTTGTATTATTGCTGTGAGTTAAAAGCCAAGAAGAGTGAGTGAGTGACACGCGCACTGTTCAGACTGCATCCATAAATCTTACCTGCGCGTTGGCTGGATGCTTATCCGCCTCGAAATAAGCCACCTCGTCTAGAATTAACGAGTTGAAGAAAGCAGCGTCGTTAAATCATACCAAGCTAAGCTAATTACTAAGTCTGTATTTGAATAAACTATTGTTAATAATTGTTGTACAATGTAAGTGGTTGTTGTTGTTGTTCCTGCTGCTGCTGCGACACTGAGTGGCCACCGTAGGCGGGCGCGCGCGCTCGAGTGACCGCCTCGCGCCTCGCGCACGCGGACCCCGGCCCACGGCCCCGCCCCACCAGAGCCCTCCCATTGGCTCGGAGGCGCCGAATATAATTATTTAATTATTCCAGCTCGCGGGGTTTCGCCGACCAATTGGAGCGGTGGGTGGGGAGGTTTGAGTTGGTAGAAGGGGGGGGGGCACCGCCGCGACTCGGGCCAATGAGGAGACGGGAGAGGTTTCATTCACAAAATGGAACTGGGGGAGGGTGGCTCCATTCATAAAATGGAAGCCTTGAAAAGAAAAAAAGCGGATCTCTTTGCCTCGTGTTTCTTTCAACATTCCCAGCCTTAAGGTGATTCAGTTTGTCCAAAAAAGCAAATGTATTCCTTGTAAAAGATAACAAATTTAATGCATTTCTAGGTTAACATGAAGAATATAAATTAACCCTCCCCAATAAAAAAAAATACTTTACGGAGTATTGTATGACAATGCATATTTGTTAAACTTTATTGTATGTGTTGTGTGTTTATAAGGCTTATGGAAGCAGATGAATACGTCCATGGGCAAGCGCTTGGGATTATCTCGGGAGTTATCCAACTTGCTGGAAGTAGCACCTTTTGTGACTTTCACAAGAGGTAAACTCGTGCACTTCTGTGTTATCCCAACGTACCATCTTAAGAATTTTTAAACAAATCACTCGTGACGACAGCAATTTGTATTCAGTAATAATATTACCACTTCAAAAAAACACACGATAGGATTGATCTCATTAAGTTAAACGTGTACTTAAATAATAGATTAAAGAACAGTACCCGTGCATCAAATGGCTGCATATTGTTGCCATTTAGGAGCTAGATTCCCACACAATGTCGAGAAGGCTTCAGGAGAGAGTTCGTGGGGTGTTTCGATTCCTCCTCGTCCGTTGAAAGGAGCGCAGACTACAGACGGTTTACTATACGGTCCACAGTTCGTGTTGCATGAATGTTGCGAAAGTGGTTTCAATATATAATTAAAAAAAATCGCTGGTTGAGTAATGGGAATGCGTGCAGATGTTTTCAGAAATGTGCGTGCATGTAAATGCGTTGTGTGCGTGCGTGTCACACAGAGGTATACATGACGGCTTCGCGTGTGATGAGTTAAAACAAACCATATTTGTGCCAACTTTTACGCGTGCACTCACAATCCACATACACGCGTGTCATTCTGTGCATTCTAAACTACCCACTCGTAAAGGTAAAGTAGAACAAAAATAAGCACACATAAAGTAAACACAAATAGCGATCTACATTCATTTAACAACTGCCTTAAAAAAATCCTCTCCTAACCTCGTGGTAAATGAGTAAAAAGCGAGTTTGGTTTTTTGCTTGGTTTACCACTGAAACGTAATTTATTCATTGTTGTTTTCATTGTAATGTGCATACATTACTGAATCTATGTTCGTGCATGTAAAATGGGGACGAAGGCGGTCAGTCGTGGTGTTGGTCACCCCAATCCCTCGCGTGCTGTGCCGGCCTTCATAACAGCACTTGCCCCAACAGTTTGTCTTGCGTATTAAACACCCACGTTATACATTAACAACAGGTAGCGGACAAAGCCCGCGTACTATCGCCAATAACGTCACACTCAACGGGAGGCAAATGTGCATTCATTACTGTACTCACTGATGATTGGGATATACTTCTACTAAAGAGTTTAGCAAAAGACTTAAGGATTGTAAAACTATACGCTGTTTTGCCCTAATTACCCAGCGTAAGTGAAACCAATCAGCCTTCTAAGCAAGCCATAACGTTTTGTGGCCCAAATAAAATATATATACGGTACATTTTATTTCTCGATGTGCGCTGCTGTGTTAACACCCGACTATAATTGTACCACATGCCACCGTTCTAGAACACAATGTAGACATTACATTCGCCATTTTACGTTGTAAATTTCATCTTATTGTTGCGCACTTCACTTTATTGTCGTTGTACCTGCCTGCCTTTGCATCCCTTAAGACAAAGGCGTGTAAGTTTAACTTGGCTAGAGAGATAATTATCGGAGTGACCATTCCCTTAGTCACGGCCTTTTATGTTCCACTGTACGGTATTAAACACTTTAAAAACCTATAGCCACTTTGCCAATCACACTGCTGGATGAGGCCCTCCTCCCCACGCCGTGTCGGTGATGCCGGGTTGGTTGACCATACCTCGCCACCCTTGGTTTGTGCGGGGTAGGTGATTCGATAAGGATACGTTTGTTCAAAATCTCAAAACTAGATACGTTGGCTCACACAAGGTAAACATTGTAACGTGACAATTCCGCTCCTACGATGTGTGTAACAGAGAGAATTGAACTTATGTTTTTTACTTTTTGTTATGAAGAATACTGCCGTGGTGTGATGGATGGTTAGCACACAGGACTTGCAATCCAGAGGTTGCCACTTCGATCTCTCAGCGCTGCAGTTTTTTTATTAGATTGTATTTTAATCACATAAACGATATATTTACTGTACATTAATGAAACACGGTCAATCGACAGGCTGCGTTGTCGTGGAGTAAAGTATGAGTACTCCCATTTCTTCCAAGACGCCTGACCAGCGTGGAATGGTAGCCCAAATAACCTCGCAGAGTGAGTGGCTTTCTTCTAAGGGCTATTTCCAGTACAGAGAGAGAGAGGGAGGCCCATCCACCCAGCAAGGGGCACCGCGGTGGCCAGGAGATGTTAACTACCTCGCGAGGTATACAGGAGGTCGTGGGTTCGATCCCGATCCTGATGCCTGCTGTATATTTGGAGTTTACGTGTCTCTCTCCCCATGACCGCGTGGATTTTTCTCCGGGTCCTCCGGTTTTTTCCCCCTCCACATGTAGAATGCACGCGTTTAGAGTATTTGGCAGCTATAAGTTTCCACGTGATAAGCAACTGCATTGAGCTATCGTTTGTGGCAAGGTTTCTTTTGAGAAAGAGCTATGTAGCTCAGTGGGCCTTACCTGGTAAAATAATAAAAAAAATATATAGTTTTTAGAGACGGGCTGACCATATTTCCAATAGTTACACGGGATATTAGGCTGAGAAAGAGCACAGGTGTGAGGGATGCATCGTGTTTGTCAAACTGGGCCGTACCTGCTAAAATAAAAAAAGTTTAGTTTACAAAGTGGCTTGAGTGAGTAATTGCAGTGCTGCACCTTTACCTGTTACTTTTGTAAAGGCTCAAGTCGTGTTTGGCGAACCCCACCCGCCCCCAGCCCCCCTAGGCGAGTGGTGTTTGTCCTCAGAACTTGTGGCCTGACGTGGGCAGCACTGGCGGTATGTGTGGAGTTTGAGAAATGAGAACCCGTTTCTGGCAAGGGAGCTCTTGACAAGAAACCCACTGCTTGTCACCGGGGGCTTTCCGTGGTGGGGAGGGGGTGAGAGGTATTTATAGACCACGTTTACCTTCGTGTGTACACCAGGCCGTGTAGAGAGCCACACACTACTACCCTTTGTTTAGGGATTTCACAATTGTGTATGTTATGCCTGAACACACCGACTGCAAGCACTCGCTCGCAATGTCAAAATTGTTCACGTGTGTTTTAAAGGACCGTGCGTTTACAGTGCAGTGCTGCGTGTAAACAAAGTACCGTGCACATTATGCCAAGTGGCGGAGCGTTATGGGTAAAAGTATATGTAAATTATAATCAGAACTCTGTTCTCGTTCTCCACATAAACAAAACTATATTTAGTCCGTCGGCATATTGGTTTTCTAGGCCACAGGTATATACAAGGGCGATCCTTTTATAGATACCACACTCAGTGCTAAAGCCCCACCACCTCTTTGTTGTCAACAAGTGATTGAATATTGTGAAGGCGATGGCTCAATATGTGACAGAGAAAAAGAGTGATCATATTTAACAAGTGTACTGTGCTGCATTGAAATCGGTGGGAGAACGTGGAGGCGTCGCAATGTAATGCTGTATTGTCTATCTCGTTTTAGTGGGGTATTTGTAAATGGATCACCCCCGTGTACCGTATCAACATACCAAGGTTATATTGTATTGGAGCATACTAATTATTGGATGTGACTGTAATCATGGAAAGAACTTGAAATATCCTGTTCTCAAAACTGGTAATTATTGTACACATTACATTACATCCGCACCTCCGATTAGCACGGTTGGCTACGTACGGTACGAAAGAAGTTCAACGTGCGGGTACATTGCAGCCTAACAAATAAGAGATGGAGTGCTATGCATATCCCCAACGTTGTCTGTGGGAACGTTGGTGCCACGTTCATCAATCGTTGTGGCGTGCGGCGGAAAGCGAAAAAAAACTGACCCAACTTGCACGAGTGGTTTCATCTGGTGCCCATTTATTTCTTAGCAAAGCGAAGTTCTTGCTCACAGACATGTCAAACGGTAATACTGTACGTAGTATATAACACGCAAATGATAGGACTCGCACCGCGCTCACGATAAGCAAACAGCACGGGCAAATAAAAAAAAGAACGACGACTTCCCGCACGAGAGCGTTTGGGGGCATTTACCCGGCCTGCAATATGCATGATCGGGCGTGCTTGGTCCCGGACTGAGCTCTTGAATGATGATTTGGAGGTGAGAGACGGCACACATCGCAGGCTGCCGATGCTACTGATGCTGCTGCTGGACCATCGGAGCCGTGTGAAGCTCAAGTCAGACACCAAGTGTTTGTGTGTGTTGAAAAATAAAAGTCTTTGCAAGTCTAAATTCAAAAATAATTGTACAATCTTTGTGGGCCTCATAATGCACATAAAGTCGATGAAATAAATGCATAATGTTTCGTGTTTTGGTAATTGTTATTTTCTTTTCCTGGCTTTACCACTTAACAGTTAAAATTATACAAAGTCAAAACCTGCCGATGCTGCTGTTAAGTAACCCCCCCCCCCCCCTTTCGCTAAGTTTAAAATGTGAAACCATGGCATCAAAAGAAGGAAATAGAAAAATACCATGAACTAACAAATACTCGAGTAGTCTCTAGGTGCTACGATAGTGGCGCATACAATAAGTGTATTTTGTAAACGTCCGTATAAATCTTGCATCGGGCTCGTCAGGTTGTACAAATCACGTTTTTTTTAAACCA